CACAATCATCTCATAGCCTTGCCACACAGCTATTGTAGCCATTTTTCCATCCAAAGACGGAAAAAAATGTATGCGCAAAACTGGAATATCACATTAAAAGATTATTTGAGCATTAAGCACCATTTCCATCTAACGACTCCAAGAGAAATGATAAACTGATAAATTGGTGCCAATTATATAACATTTTTTATAGAGTATTAGTGCAAATGACTTTAAATCCTTGATGTTCTAATAATCTGAGACATACCAGTCTGGGCTCCTGGTGCAGTTTCCGTATTGTAGTTCACTGCCTTTTTCTGCAATATTAAAATGACGATCAGACAAGTTTCCAAAATAAAGATAGAGATGAGAAGTGATAATTCACAGCGTGCCCTGGCACATGAGTGCTAAGAGGCTGGATGTGTAGGAGCAAGTGTGTGTTTGTACCTGCAGTAAGGCCTGAAGCCTGGCAGGCTCCCAGTCTCGGAGGTAGAAGAGGCAGTCTCTAGGGTGATGGGCATGCAGACCTGTCACACTGCACTGGTTCACTGCACATCTCTTCCAGAGAATGGCAAAGAAGAAAATGTAAGGAACACACAGTGCTTCAACAAAAGGAACTACTTAGAGCAGCAAGGGATATCACAGCCATGTAGAGTCCCTTAATACATGAACGTAGTTCTTAAAATAAACTCAACATGCCTAGAGACAAGGACTTACTGTGTGGAAGGGGTTGTTGCATCCACTGCAGAACTGATACCTGCACTGAGAACAGCTGAAGTGCATACAGCCGCCCCTGGCCAGAGCGTACTGAAACCTGCAGTTAGGACAAGCTACAGGACACACAAAAACAGCAGATGAATCAGGGAATTTCACCCTCCCAAAAAAGCTGCTGCCCACCAAAGCTGCTGCATCTGCTTGCAGGTAGACAAGTGAACCGAGGAGTCAGAGGCTAGGTAGCACAAGATGTCAACTTCCATAGTTCTAATGCCAACTTTTCATGTTTTTGGGTTGTGTACTACCTACTTTAAGAGTAAACAGCACTGATCATTAGCGAGCAAATTAGCTATTAAAGTTGTATAAAGTGATATAAAGCATTTTTGAGAAAAATGTCCATTTGTAGAATTAGCAACCACCATGAAACATGAATAAGAAAACATCCTTATATCAATCCCTGCACAAATGTGTCAAAGCCTTGCCACAAAGATACAGTAGCCAAGTTTCCATCCAAAGATGCTAATTAATTTTATACGCAAAACTGGAATAATCAAAAAAATAAAATATTTGAGCATAAAGCACCGTTTCTATCTAACGAGTCCAAGAGAACAAAATCGTCCCTTGCCGATAAATTGACGCCAAATATCAAAATTGAAATTTTGTAAAAAAAATTTAATAAAATAATGATTGCACTATACAATTCTTAAACTTATATAAACAGTCTATTGTTAAATATTCAACTATAATTCTGTTTGACGTTTTGTAATGATTACATTTACATTTTTTAAAGATTTGTTTCATAATCGATTAACTTTCAAGTCTGTTTTTTTTACTACTTTACATTTCGCTCTAAAAAGTGAACAGCTTTTGTGGTGATGCTTCATAGCATTAATTATGTACAACTCCAGATTCTTTTTTTTTAAATATCTTTTGCATTAAATTACACAATACTTCCACAACAAACCTGAAATTGTAAGAAAATTACAATATTACATTAGTCTTTTTTTTAACTGCAAAAATGAAATGTTTTTACGTTTAATAGCGAAAATCAAAAGTGCAGAGACAAAATAAAAACAGGAAAACCTTCCCTAAACCTTTGCACTTATTGTGCCAGAACCAAAACAAGATACTGGGGTTGTTTAAATTAATGATATGAAGAACTAGCACAAAAAACTTTTTAAAGATAATTTCAGAGGTGGAAAGAGTAATAAAATATGCTACTCAAGTAAAAGTACTGTTACTTCAATAAAATTTTACTCAAGTACAAGTAAAAAGTAACTCTTCTAAAATTGTAAAAATGACTGAGTATTTTTTCTTATTTTTGAACAACAGTGGTGGGTGGATGATTCTAGTGTAGTTAAAAAGTAAAAGATGGGGATATAAATTTAACCTGGTTGTTTTTAATTAAGGAAACAACTTTACAAATTAAAGTGCAATAAAAACAAATAAATAAAATACAATAAATATATATATAAATATACAATAACCATATAAAACATTTGAATATGGCATAAACTGTGAATTCAGCAGAGGATCCTTTTGTTAAACACTAAACAGTAGAGCAAGAGTAAGTCATAATGGGTCAGAGACATTCAAGCATTTATGAAAAAAAAACTGTGTCATTGTCAGATAACAGACCATTCTGTCTACTAATAATAAAAAAATATTGTTTAATGGCCTTTACTGATCATAAAAATAAAAACATTGTTTATTTCAGTAGCAGTCCACGACTTGAGTCTACTGCAGATTATCCACTTTCACAGCCAAAAAAAAAAAATGTTACAATTTGTCATTTAAGTTACGATAATGAGAAAAATCGCAAACGCAGAGTCAGCTCACGTGTTGAACTCAGTGACGAATCAAAACACTTTGATTGGACACCGCATCTCAACAAAAGTGTTTGATTGGTTATACAGTAATGCCCAGTAATTCTAACACATCTGCTGCAGATCAATTCTAACTCTTTTCATAGACTTAAGTAAATCCTGACACTGGTAATAGCTTAATGGAAATTGTGCATTGACAACTTTGTTCTAAGTTCCTGTTAATTTCTAACCTTAGTGCTAACCCACATTAGCAATGTCACGCGCTGATGCAGCGCAACAGAACAATAATTACGTAAAAAAAGTAGTATTTAACTTACCTCAACATGCTCGTGCAGATTTGATGTTTAGCTTTTGTAAGCTGCCAATTCAGTCTTGGGCAAACAAAGTTTACACTGCATAATAACACTGTTGCCTTTCTTGCACTTAAATTCAAAGTTGTCCCGTAAATATGGCCATGAGTTTGTTTCTGAAGAATTCAAATTCAGCAGCATTTCACTTTCATCTGGGTTTACATCTTTCTTGAGTTAGCGCACTGCGCTTGTTCTCCCGCGAAATCAAGCTGTAGCTTCCGGCGCGCGCTCCCCTCTATCCCTCCACGCACAATTATTTTTTTTTTTAATTTTACTTATTTTTTGTTTTTACTCAGTAACGGATAGGATTTAAAATGTAGTTAAGTACAATACTTACATCAAAAAGTACTTAAGTAAAAGTAAAATTACACAATTCAAAAGTTACTCTAAAAAGTAGAAATAAACAAAAAACCTACTCAATTACAGAAAAGCGAGTAAATGTAATTTGTTACTTTCCACCTCTGGATAAATTATTGGATTAGATCATTTATGAAGTGTGCAAAACAACTTGAGTCATCATCAAAGATTGCTATTGTCAATTAATAGTTTTTACAATTGGCATTTTAATAATGTTTGGATGTTTTAAATGCCATTAACTAAGATCTGTACGCTTATTGAATATGGGTTACTTTATCTCTAAAAGGATAGTTAATCCATTAAAATACTGAGAGAGTTACTGCTGGAAGCATGCTTCCAGTCTTCTAGAGCAGATCAGAATGTGACTCACTGATCCCATTGTCTCGCAGGTATCCAGCCAGACCCTGCTTCTGGTACTCAGGGTCGTTCTCCCTCTTCCACTGCTGGAACTGCTCACACGAGAGGCCCGTGTGCTGCGCCTCCCACTGCAAATTGACATTCAAAGACAGTGAGAGAAAATCAAAGATTTCATCCATTAATGAAAGCTTTGACCCCATAATTGTGAATTTTTGATAATGTGATATGTAACATAGCTCCAAGTTGGAGGAACATCAAATGTGGATGTGCTTGTTGACTTTAATAAGAAACCAATCGTTAACTAGTATGTTGTGACAAAAAAAATCTGCACGGTTAAACCCAGGAAACCAAACTCCTGCCCCTAAACATCTAGCTAGACGTTGTGAATCACTGTTGCAGCCGGGTGAGAAACTAGTCAGTCAGAAGAGCATAAATGCTAGCAATGCAATGATTTTGGGTGAAAACACAAGGGAAAGAAAAAAAACATGGAATGGAAGTTTCTTTGGATATAAGCGTTAAATTTCTTTAGTGGTAGAAATGCAGCTTCTTTTATTTTCACAGAGGAGTCTGTGATAAACCAGTGCTTGAGCTTCATTTTTTTCTTCCATACCACAGAAGAATAATACCAATATTGTCTGAAGATGGTTTCACTAAACCTGCCACTTCCTCCCAATTACAACCAGTAAGCATGGTGATCAACCCCTGTGGTATTCTCTGTCGCGTGCAAATATCTGTAATTTTCTAAAAAATAAATAAACAGCAAAAGGAGGGAGTTTGTATGAGCGAGTGAAAAAACTATGGAGCCCCTAAAGGGAAATGATGGTTGGAGGAAAAAAAGGGTGTTGTTTTTTGCATTCTCTCACAAAACTGATTTACTGCAATGCAAATCTGAAAACATCCACCGATACCCGTGAAGTTGCCCAGATAACTGCAGCATGAAGTTAACAACGTCCACCAACAGAGAGGACCATGCGTCCAGAATCCATGCCTAACATTATATTTTTGTAAAGAAGTCCCAGTTCAAAATAAAGAATGTTGACGTTTGGAAAAACTTTGCAAAAAAAAAAAAAAAAAAAAAAAATCCTGATTTTTTCTCTTCTGCAGTCTTAGCCCTTCAGGGGCTCTCTGCAACTTATTTGAGAGATGTTGCAAAAATGTGTTGCGTCAACCTGTTGTTGGAGAATAATGTTCATAATAATATTTGAATTATTCTGAATTCATGAATCTTGCTATGCCATTACAACAATGTCTACAATACATTAATGACGCGCACACTTCACTGGTTCAAAATGACACACTTTACAAGATCTTTCCCCACATTTGTTTAGGATCCAACACATTTCAAACTAATTTTGATGAGGTTTTGAATCATCAACTATGATCTTCCAGTGGATTTGTTGGTGGTGAAATCTACTAGAATTTCTGTGGCTCAGTGAGCAAAGCATTGGATTGGTAATGCAAAGATCATGGGTTTGAAACCCGGGAAATTGTGTAAATTCCTTTAGATTTTAATGTATGAAATGTATCTTAGGACTTTCACACTTACCGGTTTTTTGCACTGTGCACAGAAGCTGTTCCTACATTGGGTACAGGTGACCTTAAGTTGATCCCCATCATAGATGAAGCCGTAAGAACACTGTTTGGTGTTATGAAACAAAAATTATGCATGAGAAGCAAGTAGGTAGAAAAAGATGCCAATGCAAAACGAACTGGAAAAACTACAATGCAATTTTTTTGAATGTATCCCCACAATCATGCATTGGTCCTCATGAAAATACAAAAATGTCTCATAAAGCTAAAGAGGGTATGCATTGACATCACTTTTCCACTGGATCGCACCCCCTCTACTGTGACTGAGAGGCAAAACAAGCTGTAAAATTGCAGTGATGAATCTGGAAAAGTGTCAAACCACAAGTAAGAAAAAAAACTGGACTCAACTGCGATCCCCACATGTTAACAGATGACCATCATTCTCTGCGCTTAGAGATTACCCCAGAATCTTTGCAGAGATGAATATCCAAATACAGAAGAGGGTCTCAAAGTGGTAGCCCTTTAAATTAATCAGTACCCAGGAAGTAGCTCTCGGTTTCAAAAAGGTTGGTGACCCCTGCTCAAGGGTCAGACATGCCAGGCCAACCAAACCAATCTTCTAAAGATTTAGAAACCCCCAAAAAGGACGAAAAGGAGGGAAAAAAAATGGATTTTTTTTAAATTATCTGTTGCTTTGTTGTCCCCCCACCCCTAAAACAACACTAATCTTGAGGGGCATTAAGACGGCCATTCTACTCACATGACTGCACCACAGGAACTTGGGGTCCTTGATGAGAGCCTGCTCAGTCAGTTTCTTATGGAAGAGGTCGTAGACATCCACTTGAAGACAATCCCTCAGCTGAGCATTCAAACAAACAAATGTGTTTCAGTCAAGTTTGTTATTAGCACCACCAGACAACCCCCCACTCTCTCTCTCTCTCTCTCCTTCTGTACCTGTATGTCCAAAGTGGAGAAGTAGCTGTTCAGGTGTTCAGGGTCATTGATGTCCGGCTCTGAGCAGACCGGACACACCATGTCTCGAATGTGCTTGTCTCTCACAGCTATGGTGAAATGCTGCGTGAAGCATCCACAGCAGACTGAGCACTGGCATGATGTCAGAGACCGCATCTGAGAAGGAATATGTCCAAAGTCAACAGGCGACAATGCTACACAACTTTGGATCAGAATCATATAATTGATACCCTTCACCCAACAACTAAACATAAGTGTTTTTTATTTTCTGAAAAATAGTTCCTCTGAACACTGAAAGTTCCCTTCTGGCTGTGAGAAACACGCAAAGTCCCGCCCACCTCTAACTTTAGTGATCTCTGATTGGATATTTACACAAAGGAGTCCAAGATTGTCAGACCCTTCTTGAAAATTTATGAGCAAAAAAAGTACACACATTTTTAAAATTCAAGATTACAGGTAGTATATAAAATTTCTGGTCACCTAATGTTATGTGGATTATTAATAAATTACAATTTTAAACATATTGAAAAAAAAAGTACCTTGCTGTGGGGGAAAACGGACATGCAGATGGGGCATTCCTTGTTCAGGACACGTCGAATGAAGTCCCGGTCAGGTGACTCACGCACAGCCTGGACCACATCTTCAAGTGTGTAATTGGCTGCAGGGTCTCTTAAGAGTGACAGCACTAGCTCACAGCGCCCCCAGCTGGGCAGATCAAACACTGCTAGCAGTCTACGACAAATGTGCTTAAAACAAAAGATTAAGAACACCCACGATTATTTTACATTTTGCCCGTATAGAAGAAATGACAAAAGCTGCATTATTACTTGTTTATCTGGATGGTTGATGTCGATGGGGGGATCTGGCTCAGTGCTCCACATGCGCTGATGGAATGCCTCCAGTAATGGGCGCTGCAGCACTATGAGAGCTCCCCTGATGTCCCCTCCACTCTGTCTAAGGGCTTCTTCACATCGGCTGACATCATTAAATCCCAGAGAAGCCAGCTCCTTCACCTAACACAAAGGGAAAACGTCGAGTTGACCAAGATTACGATTGTTTTAATCAATAAAAGAGCACATCTCACTTTAAATGATCGGTCTCTGAGAGCCTGTCTGACGGCCTTCTCATTATCGCCCCCAGCTGCCAGCCAGGCCAGTTTGGCTTCTGCTTTGGACAGGGGCACAGCTTTCTTCTTGAGTTCATCAATGCCATTGCTCCCACCTAAACCGTTTGCCTGCATTTTGGGCTCTTCCTGGCAGGATGCAGCCAACACACAGATCTCGTCAAGCACATGAGGTAGCTCCACCTTCAGCCAGTCGTACGGTGTCACATTACTGTTTCCTGACACACGGGTGCTGGTGTACACCTCCTCTGGACTCACTCCTTTTTTCTCACCCTCCTAATAAAAGGAGCAGAAAGCGTGTAAATTTCGAAATAATGATGCCTCAACCAGAATAACCTCACAAATTAGCCTCACTCGAATGAGATTTATCAGCTTAAGACCTTCTTCCTTCATCAGTCTTTGCCTTTTCATATCAGGTTCTTCAACAGGAATGGTTGTAGGAGCAGCTGAAACTGCAGGGATGTCCTTGATTGGTGAAAGTGGGAGGGGCTTTGAGGGTGAGGTGACTGGTTGTGATCTTGCAAGACAACACATATTGCATACGATGGCAGGTGTCTTGTTGGCGTATGTACAAAACTGGCAAATCCACTGAATAAAAGAGAAATAAATGAACAAAACAAGTTAACAAGAACTTTTCCATCAACCAATCTAGCTTTTAGAACGGTGTTCCCCAGCATCACATAAAAAGCACTGCTACATGATATGTGTCACGAGGCTTGCAGGATATGAGGTCATTTTATATCATTTGTAATTAGGGGCAAAGCACCGGTTGTATTTCTAAGTTAGCGTTCCTGTTCAATTTGGATTCTCTAACCCAAACTCTCTAGCTCCACCACTAGTACAGTGTTATTTTTGGCAGCCATCTGAGTTTTAGTCTTTTTGATGAAAATGATTTTAGTTTTAGTCGCATTTGTGATTTAAAAATGTAATCGTTTTAGTCGTTTTGATCAAAAATCAAAATCATTTTTAATCAGTTTTAGTCACCAAAAAATAAAGGTTTTAGTCAATTTTGAATAATATTTAGTTGATTAAAAATGGTCTTTTAATAAGTTAATTTAACTCTTTAAATATTATTTCATTTTATTTCGCGAACATTTTACATTGCGACATTGGCTTTTCATCAAAAAATACTAAGGATTAACTTATGCAAAAGTGTTAACACAATATATATTCACCATATTCTTTCAAAGGTAAGTTAAAACCAATCTTTGTTTACATGATATAAATACGATTTAATTTGAGAATTAGCGAGATGAATTTATGATTGGCTTAAAATTTTGCACATAACTCCAGACCAAAATAGGCTGCTAACTTATCTAGCAAATGTATGTTTCAGTCTATGATCTATTAGCTTGCGTGTGCGTTATTACCGCAATTCCTCGGGTGTGTTAGCAGCAGAATCATTTCGTCTTTTCCAACCATAATGCTCTTTTGTTGACACTGCTGTCATGGTCCCCAAAATGAACAAACATTTTCATGTAAGTCACTGGCATGTTGGGAGTCTTGGGACCGCAGGTGCCTCGTGTTTACTGCGCATCCAGACAAGGAAAAGAAGCGCCGATGGATACCTTATATTTTCAATGACAGATTACAGCCACGAATCATGAAAAGCAGAAATTCATCAACATTTTCGTTCACTCTCGTTTTTGTTAACAAAAATTTGAGCGCGTCTTGTCATGTTTTCTTCATATCATTGAAATATTTATATCTTTCAGTCACGAGAAAAAGTTTTCGTCAACAAAATATTTTCGTTATCGTCGGCAAAAACAACACTGCACTAGAACAAAGATTAACCCGTTTTTTCACAAATAACTTTTGAACTAGTCGTGTTCCCTGGCGCAGGATTATTCGAATGAATTATTACATTGTCATTTTCCAATACGCAAATTGTCCATCATTTTGAATTATTTGAAAAACCTAGGGGTGACACAGTGGCTGGGAAATTACACCAAGCACAGGACACGAAAACAAATGTGCAAATCCCTGAAATATTATTCTTGAATAAATACCCTTTAACTTAAATTTTATAAATAAATGCTAAAAATATTTTTACCCAAATATACATAAATAAAATGAACATGGCACCTGGCTTTCCAATCTTCCTGTGGCGCAGGGAGTCGGTCGTGATGGTGTGACAGGAGGTCTGGTGGCCAGACGAGGGCGTTCACACACCTCACAGAGAATGCTGCTGCCTGCATTCACCACTGTGCAGCTTTTACACTGCCACTCTGACATCAATCAACAAAAGTGATCAGCGAAACCGGTCAAACAGCTCTGAAAGTACATTAAACCATGAATACACTCAAACCAGATATTGCAGAAGGCTGTGATGGCTCCTCATGTAGAGAGGCAGCAGAAGACAAACGGGGTCGATCACACGTTTCACACAAAACCTGCTGCATGGTATTCACCGTAGTGCAGTATGAACACTGCCATGTTGATAGTGATGAGCTTAGGAGAGAAACACACTGTGTGTTAAAATAAAAAAAAAAATCCATTTTGTAGTTAGTGTTTTGCAAAGTTTCATTTGTGAAGAAATCTAACCTGAGCGTTTTAGTGGGTTTTGAGGAATTCACAGAAATCCTGGTGTGTGTGGACCTTCCAGAATGTGAGTGGTAGAGCCGGTCACATTCTGTGCAAAGCCTCTGCGTACAAGTGGGACAGTGAGCAGTCACTGGAAAAATGCCACATATGGAGCAGTTCTCTGTTGAGAAAATCAATGGAATGAGCTGAAGTTCTGATAAAACGGCAACAGCTTGGCAGCTAAGGATAATGTTTTAACCTCTTTGCTTAGAAGGGACAACAGAAGTGAGAGGGAGAGCTGGAGTGAATGGAGATTTTGATTGCGGAGGAGTAGATATGGAT